ATATATATATATATATATATATATATATATATATATAGGGGCCTATTCAAGGGAGAACTGAGTTGTTTGTGGTAACTGTGAGAACCAATCTCAACAATCATTTTAAAATATTAATTATACAATTAAATTCAAATTAAAAGGGTATCATAGTCAATTCCTAATTTTAATTTTAATTTTTTAAAGACAACCGTTTCAAATAAAATAAAATTAATATTGATTTACATTCCTTAAATAAAATATTAATATTATTTACTGAAATAATTTCAAAAAAAACTAATCGGTTTATGTAAACATGTATGTGATTCTGATGAATCACATGAAATCACGTTGAAGATTGTATACATAACTATTTAAGAATGTTAAATCAATAATTTTCACTGCAAAAAATTCATCCTGAAGATTGAAAACGTAATGAAGAACAATGGTAAAAATCCTATTGATTCTTCAATTCATGTCAATTCTGATGAAGACAGAGTATATGTCAACTCTCATGAAGAAAATGTAGATGTTATGGAGGTTGTTACCTGGGAGGCTAGTGAAGAATTTGATGTTGGACTTTCTCCATTTAAAAATGTCCAACGAAACTGTGAAGAAATCGGTTTGGTAGATTATGTAACTGATGATACAACAGGCTACACATCGAACAATGAAATTCGGAATGATGAAATTACAGGTTTTTGTTTCATACAGCTGTTGAAAACTATGTTTAATTCTACAATATAATGTGATCACCCTGATTTGTATCACAGTGTGTTACCCAAATTAGTTTCCTGATTTTAATTCTTTAATATATTCTTGGTGTGATTATTGAATTCTTTAATATCTGGTTTTTTATATCTATTAATTTTATATGTATTTTGTTGTATTAGAACCTGTAATGCATCTGTATGTATCAATGATTTAGGCATGGTTGTGGTACTGTGTATATAAAGACAGTATATTGATGTGCAAACTTGTGATACATTATTAAATGGTAATTGTATATGTTTGAATCCATGTTTTCAGAATACTTCTTACTGTCTACTCTGTCTTGGTTTTATCTTCTTGTTTTGATTCTGGAAATCTTTAATATCTACAATCATATGTGTATCTTCTTGTGGTACTGTGTATATAAAGACAATATATTGCTACATTGTGGTACATTTAGTGTTGAACATAATCTATTTGAATTCATGTTTACAGCTATTGATCAAGCAGGACAGTGCTTATCAATATCACCAGGTACTACTAAGTGGTATACTCCAGTAGTCGAAGAAGTTATCAAGCCCGTTATAGGATCTGTGTATCCGTCATTGGAAGTAGCAAAATCGATATACCAAAAATATGCTAAGTCGGCTGGTTTTGAGGTACGACGTTCAACCCAAAAGATTAATCCTGATGGTGTAATATAGAATAAATACTTCGTATGTAGTAGGTTTGGTTTGCCATTGAAAAAGTCGTTTGATTCAATGGTACGCCGTAAACATCAAAGAGAAGTGCGGAACTCCAATATAAAAAGGACAGGGTGTACAGCAAGTGTGAAGTTCCGATTGATGAAAGGAACAACAACATATGAGTGTTACGGTTTTGAAGAGGATCACAAC